AATGAATGAATGAGCATTTTTTTTCACAGCTCACATAGCCTGACAATGCCTAGGGTTTGATTTTTCCTTGCTTCTCATACTGCAGGTGAAGAGGGAAATTTTGTAAGATCCTCAGTAATTTCTTGACCATCATCTTCCTGTTTGCTCTAAAAGATGGTTTCTGAAAACCAAGTCTAATACAAGTCTGTAAAGGCAGAAACAACAGAGGCAGAACCATTGGTTGAAAGCACCCAGGAACAAAGAACACAGCTCCATCACCCTGTGCTTAGGAGTGAGGTGTAAACTAGAGGGAGAGAAAGCAGACAATAGGACAAAGCAGAGGGCTGACAAAGTGAAACCTTCCAAATAGGTAATAGCAATGCTTTCTTTAGCGGAGCAGCTGTGGCACATGCCTTTAATCCCTGTGCTTATGAGGCAGAGCAGACAGATCTCTCCATGAGTTCTAGGCTAGCCTAAGCTATAGAGCTAGTTCCAGGACAGCCAGAGCTGTTACACTAAGAACCCCTGTCCTGAAAAACAAAGACAAAAGGAAGACGTGTTTTCTTAAACAAAAAACAAAAACAAAACAACAAAAAACACCCCCCCCAAAACAAAACCCCCAAAGATTCTGTTTATGGATAGTCTTCCAACAGATAGTTGTTGATTGCCTCAGGGTCACTGTGCTTACTGCTGCCACTTAAAATCCAGTGACCTCCCCCACCTCCCAGTCTTCCAACACTTGCTTTGAAATCTATGACCTCCTCTACCCTCCTTCCATTTTCAGTAAATAACTGAATTTCGCAGTTGTCTGTAATAAAGACATCACTCCCTTGACATACTCCCATGTCCTGACTTAGTAAAAGTGAAAGACAAATGCAGCCATGTCTATGTAAATAGACATCCTACCAAAATGGAGACACTCATAGAAATCATACACGATATCCAAGATCTGGCGTTTGTGTTTTATTCTCCCCTCATTGCTTTTGGTCTCTAGCTCTCATCGACACCTTCCCCCGCTGAAACATGGGACTCTTTACAACACAGTACTGTCCTTCTGGTTCCTTAGCCTTGTTTTCTCTCATCGAAACACCCCAACCCCATCTTCCAGCTGTTCTCTTGATTCATTGAGTCATTCATCACATCTCTCCAGGGCACATCCTTGCATCAGGTAGTATGTGGGTCTTCTAGGTGTTCCAGTGAGCAGTGTCTGTGATTTCCTAGACGCACTTAAGATAGGTGGCCAGACCTCTGTGTAACTATGGTCTCTTCTGAGCTTCTGAGCCAGGAGCTTTTATCAAACCAAAGAGGCAATCTTGAAGATGACTTTTGAGTTGGAATCTGCAGGGTAGATTAGGAGTGAACACCATATTCCTTTGGCCATCCAGGAATGAGTGTGGAGCACATAATCTGGTAGCTTGTTGAGTATAATGTTATATCCTGATGAGAGTGGGTAAGTGGGTAAAGATGTTGTCTCATTGAGAGTGTAAGCTCATAAAACTCATGTTTCCCCACAGGTATGCTGTCTCTTGTTCTTGCTTCAGGGCCTGACTGGGATACACAATACAGCCAGCTCCTGAGCTCTCTGACTTCTATGTTGTTCAGTCCAGTAGTGTGTGCTGACTCCAGATGTTCCAGATGAATGCAGAGATGCAGATGGGGACAAGCAAGGGGCATCAGAAAGCCATAAGGATTGCTTCTTACATATGTTTGCTTCCTGGAGAAGGGGAGGTAAAAGAAAAAGTCTGCAGCAATGCTATCTGCACTATCTATCATCTGTTTATTTACACACACACACACACACACACACACACACACACACACACTTCTTTTTCTGATTCCTTCCCTAGGCGGTCAACTTGGGCCAGCTTTGTCCAAAACCAAAGTGTACTTTCTACGTAGCTGTTCTTTCTAGCTGTGATCCTCTCTCTACTATGATCTGTCCCATTTCTGTAGATGTAAAGTTAGTTGCTTTGAGGCAACAAGACCAGGAGGCCTATGATAGACTCAGGCATTGCTTCTGCTGCTTCTCTGCAAGCAAATCCGGTTGGTAAAGCTTCCAGGAGTTATCTGCATTTGAATGTGGGCATCTGTCTGCTGTGGAGACTCTATAGGGGCCTTCCTCCTCTGAAATAGCATTGCCATCTAAGCTTCTACTTTAGTAATGACAAGCTACATGTGGGTGCTGAGCGTCTGAAATGTGGCTTCAATTAAGGTATGCAAGAAGAGGGAAATGCACACTGGTATCCAAAGACTTGGATTTAAAAAAAAAAAGAAAAACGAATGGGTGCTAGTCCATTTTCTGCTGTTTGAACAGTCCCACAGACTGGGCCGATATGCACAATTGTCATTTATTCAACTCATATTTCTGGATGCTAGGAAGTCTGAGGGTTTGGGACCACATCATTAATACTCATGGAAGGATACACTGGTACAATATCACCTCCTGATGAGCTACAGGTGAACTTGAAACCTACTGTTCTCATGACTGTGTGACTATTTGCTTTCAGAACAACTTTTAAATGGCCCCTGTGTTGTCTTCCTTCTACAAACCAGACTGAAGCACACCGAGGAAAGTTTCAAAATAAATTAAACCTTAAGTCAGTATTAAACTTCAGAGTGGTTTGTCAATATCCAATTTTCAGACATAATAGGACATGGAAACTTGGCAGGGTTTGCTGCTCATCCTGGGCAAAGGCCAGCATTTCCCCTCCCGAATCTAACCAGGCCTCCATTGGTTGTGGAATCAACTGTGATTGGTTGTTTATGGACATAAGACTATCCCTCCAGTGAGTTCTTACCCAGCTGGCTGCACATGACCCACTTCTAACCAAGCAAGCTTAGACTCAGGAACCCTGAGGAGGCTACCCTCTAACTTGCACTTCCTTGGTCAAATGGGCCACAGTCAGGAGGAGGAGAGACCATCTGAGTGCAAAGCAGGGCAGCCAGGACTCCTAGTAAGGTGTCTGCTGGGTCCTTGTTAACATGGCAGTTCTGGGGTATCGGTGGGGAGGAAACATGTCTACTGTAAGCAGGGATTGGGGTGAAGTGACCAGGGCACCGTTCACACTGCCAGGCATTTTGAGGAGATAGCCAGAAACCAGGAGGCAGTAAGATTGGAATAAAAATGAAATATCTGGGGGCTGAAGAGATGTCTCAGCAGTTAAGAGTCCTGGCTGCTCTTCTAGTGGACCTGGGTGAGATTCCCAACAACCACATCTAGGCTCACAACTGTCTATAACTCCAGTTGAAGAGATCCAGCACCCCTCAGTTATCACCAGGCACCAAGCGGTACATAGACATACATGCAGGTTAAATATAAAATAAACGAATACAATTGAAAAGCAAAATCCCTACAAAGTGACTGCCAAAGAAAGCAATCAAACCCCCAACATCTTCAGATTCTACTGGCCACCTCCCCGGGAGTCAGCAAGGGACAGATTTTACCCTCTTGTGACCTGCTCTGGGGCCACAGGAAGGGTATTCAGGGTCAGAGCAAGTTACAGGAAGAGGAAACCACTGTTTATGAACTGACTCGTATCGCTCAAACCATCCTCATGTACCTCATGGTGTACTCACGCAAAGTATTAAACTTTACCCACAACTGGGTATATGGATTTGGATCGAACCCAAATTTTTTACAATCTTAATTTCTACTTTTAATCCATTTATTGATCTGTTCCTTTCTAGGTCCTGTGTGACTCTTAATCCTTTTAAGTAAGTCCAAGGGAAAAAGCAAAAGAAGGCTTGTCAAAAGTCCTCGGTGGACAAGAAGTAGAAGGCAAATCTACCCTGAAGAATTCTCTTTGCCTGGACAAATCTGGGCGTGGCCAGCCTCGGCCTCCAGGAACTCCTGAAAACAAAACTTACTAAGTTTCTGGGATGAGGAGAGAATGGGATGGGTTGGTTGGAGAAGGGTAGTAATGTAGAAACTGGGACAAGAGGAAGCAGGTAACTGGGATCTAGGGGGCGCCAAGGACGCGAAGCGCTAAACTGAGCTGGAGAAGATTTGGAAACCCCTAATCCGGCGAGGGGCTGACAGGGTGGGCAGCAGACCAGGACAATCGCACAGGCCCTAGCTGTCTGTCAGCCTGACAGAGGCCCAGAGACCTGGGCGGGGGGAAGGGGGGGGCTGTGGGGAAAGGGGCGTCGCCTCTGTCGCCCCCGCCCTCTCCAGTGTATTGGGCGGTGCCTCGCCACCGGGTTTTTTTTTTTTTTTTTTTTTTTCTTATTTTTCTGTCTTACCCCTCTGGCCCCTCTAGCTCGGTCTTGGCCTCTGCTGGGCACCCCGGCGCGGATCCCTGGGTTGGTCTAGCTGGGCTGTTGACGTCACCACCAAGTTTGGTGTCCTTAGCGTCCCACGTGTGGCGGTAGCGGCCAAGGAGGCTGCAGGGTGCATCTAGGAGCACAGTGGCAGCGGGCCGCTGACAGGTCCCTTCCCCAGCACAGTGTCCACTCCAGGCAGCTCCCAGCTGGGGCCCCAGAGGAGTGGGTAGACTTCCGGAGCGTCCCAAGAGACCAGAAGGCTCCAGTTCTACTCAGACAGAGGGGCTAAGGGAACCTTGCTCAGTGCTGAGACCATCTGAGCCACCAGGATTCTGAGTGCGCTCCTGGGAGGGCCGGGAGAGCAGAGCAGCCAACGGCTGGCAAAAACAGTCGCTCGCTTTGTCCGGAGCGCACACAGCTCTGCGATCAGGCAGCCCCGCGTCCCTTCCACTAGGACCCGACCGAAGATGCAAGGTCGCTGAGCCGAGATCCGCACCGGGTGGCCACTAAGGATCCTGCTGAGCCCAGCGCCTTCACCACCCATGTCGCAGACTGTCTTGACCAGCGACTCTCGGAACTCGGGGCACTGAGTTCTGCCCAGCTAGGCTCAGGACTCGGTCACATTTCAGCCCCGAGACGATGGTTTCTTAAGCACGGTCCCGAACCCCTTCCTGCTCCTTGGTCCGGAGCCCGGGACCCCGAGAAGGGCTCTCGGCTTTTGGTCCCCGTTCCAGCTCTGGCCGCTGCTACGTTCGGGCGATGTGGCCTCAGGGCAGCGAGCAGAATGGCAGGGTTCCCGGCGCAGTCCCGGCCTAGCATGGCCCGTGAGTCGTCTTTTGCCTCCGGCTAGAATGGCCCCCCCGGGCCCGGCCGGTGCCCAGTCCTGCCCGGCTGAGCCACTGTCGCGCAGCATCTTCAGGAAGTTCTTGCTGATGCTCTGCTCGCTACTCACTTCCCTCTACGTCTTCTACTGCCTGGCCGAGCGCTGCCAGCCCGGGTCAGGCCCCGTCGCGGGGGTCCCGGGGCGCGGCATCCCTTCAGGACCGAGGGAGCTGGCTGCGTGGCCCGCAGGGGCGCAAAGGAAGCGCCTCCTGCAGCTGCGGCAGCGGCGGAGGCGCGGGCGGCCCGGGCCAGGCGACAGCGGCGACCAGGAGGAACAGAGCCCGGGGCTGGCCGCCGCTCCAGGAGGCTCCGGAGCGGGAAGCAGCGTGGCGGAGGCCCAGTCAGGGACCCTGGCCCTACTCCTGGACGAGGGCAGCAAGCAGCTGCCGCAGGCCATCATCATCGGCGTGAAGAAGGGCGGCACCAGGGCGCTGCTGGAATTCCTGCGCGTGCACCCCGACGTGCGCGCTGTGGGCGCCGAGCCCCACTTTTTCGACCGCAGCTACCACAAGGGCCTCGCCTGGTACCGGTGAGCGTGGGGACGCCCCATGGGTATTTCTGAGCGCAGGCTGTGCAGAGGGGGAGACTTGGGAGGGGTGGCAAAAGGTAAGCAGGAGCTGTCCCCATCTAGGGCTTTCATTCTCCTCTTCTCCTTTGGGGAGGAGCAGATTGAGAGAGGAAAGGGGTAGTCTTGATTTTAATCCTCAAAACATCCCGGAGTCACTCTTGTATTTAGATAAAGGAAAAGAAAGAGAAAGACAGGACAGAGTTTGCTTTAAAGTTAGAAACATGTTCGTCATTACTAGGCTATCTCAGCAAAGGAAGCCTGTTTCTATTCCTTTATCTTTGGGGTAATACCCTGTGGTTAACACGGTATTTGCTCCGGTATTTATTTGCCTTGACCCTTTGCCAGATAGTAGTCTAAGGTGGTAAGTCATATAGAGACTTAGTAAAAGTGTCAAGTGCCAGAAGTCTATGTAGTTTGGATAATCTATGTCCCAGTAAGTGCCAGCAGCCAGTCGCTGGATTTTAAAGAACAATTTCCTTGCTAATACCATTGGCCTGGCAGAAACTTTTCTAAAGGGCTTCGAAAAGTTATCTTTACAAATAAGATAGCTAACTTTAAAGGGAACGATGTTAAAAAAAAAAAAAATCGTGGGAAAATGCAGTGGAAGAGTGAACCTCACTTACAAGGTAAGCTTATTTGCCAGTGTCAAATTCAGATCACCTATAAAATGAGAGTTAGCCAAACTCTAATAAATTCTAGCGTGGCCTGGATTTGGTTTGAGGTAAAAATACTGATCTACCCACCCCCCTCATCCACGTTCAAGGAAAAAATCATATGGTTAGAATTTTCCCGTTTTATAAAGTTCAGCCTGTTCATAAAATATTCATTCTCATTATAACTGAAACAATATTAGAAAAGTTATGACACAATTGAGATACACGGAAGGAACCATTCATAAAACAGAGCCGGCATGATGTGATGAGTGCATTCACGTGTGGGGTCAAGAACATGTTCTGATTGATTTCAGGGGCTGAATTTATAGTTTAGTCCAAAAAAAAAGTTCAGATCCAAACATTAAACACTTCTAAAAACAGTAACTTTCCATTCATTGGAAAGAAAAACAATCAGCCTTCCCCGATGCAGAATATATCATTTAAAGTCATCAGCCACTTAAAAAATCCCCCCTCCCCCGTGTTTCCGTCATTTACATTGTACCCTCTGGGAAGTTCCTTTAAAATGACCTGTTGAATCTGGACAACAGGTCCTTCTTCTTAACACAAAGGCAGTTCTGTGCTATTCCTCAAGGACACAAGAAAGAAGTGATTAAAGACCCTAAAACTCTTATCTCTGGTCGCTTGAATTGAATTCAGCCTCCATACAGTGCTGGGAGGGACACATTTCAAGTCATCAGTCTGAAACATCTAGGCCAGCCGTGGGCTCTGAGGTCCTATTAAATATGGTGAAATATTTAGTACTAACCTCCTTTATTTTCGTTTTGCTCTATAAACTTTATTTCCACAAGGTAGGATTGTTTCTTCTTATTCCAACAATGTATATTTGAGGGCACAGTATACTTACAGACCTGGGTCTGATTTTCTGTAGATCTTTCTGAAATCATGTAAAAGCAGGAAGGTTTCAAGGTAACTAGAAACACAACTACTTTAAAAAAAAAAAAAAAAAAAAAAAAAAAGAGGCAGGGAAAAAATAAAAAAAGTCATAAACTCGAAGCCATTCTGCCCTTTGAAAACTGGATGTGTGCTATGAAGGAAATCTCCTTGGGTTGTTTACCCCAGCAGAGGAGTTCTATAAAGCAATTTATGGTGGTTAAAAAAATAACTGCACAGTAGACTTCATGGTTTGGTGAATTTCATTTTCCAAGTGTCAGAACAATGCCTTGTTTTAACATTCACAGTGAGTATTTTTTTTTGTTGAATGCATAAATTTAAGCTTACTGAATTATATGAAAAACTCAAAACAACAACAACAACAAAAAGACAATCTGCAGAGCCCGGATTATGGGATTATTTAATGAAATTTCTTCTATAGTTCCTTTTCATTTTGATTGACTCTGAACTTGGAATTTGATGTTTGTGAGAAGACGGAAGACTTTACTCTCTATATGAGAAAACCCCACACAGACTGCCTTGAAGCTACTGCATATTGGGCTACTTATATTTACCTAATATTTAGAACAAGGATTTGGGTAGCCCTTCCAAAATTACCCCAAATTTGCAATAAAGAATTTCTACCACACATTTAAAACCACACTGACACACAGATACACACACACACACAGAGAGAGGGGGGGGGGACAAAAACCAAACTTTTATTGAAAAATTGAAGAAAAGAAAATTAGGGAAGAGAAAAATATGGGCAATATTAGATGCTTATTGACATGGGGGAAATAAAAAAAAATGTCTAGCCTCTGCCTCTTTTTCCCTCCCCCTTCCTCCCTGTCTCTCTCCCTCTCTCCCTCCCCCCCCTCTCTCTTTCTTTCTTTCTTTCCTGTTTGTCCTAACAGTTTACTGAGGCAGTGCCCCCTACTGTCTTCACAAAGGGAGAGAACTGTTGCTTTTAGAAAGTTTGAGGAAATCTCTTGGAGAAGTTTGAGATGTTGAGAAGTTGCTGAGATGTTTCTATATATTTCCACCACCAGGAAGAAGAAGAAAAAAAAAAACAAACAAACAAATATGAGATATATTTCCAGGGTAGAGTATAAATCAATCTTTGAAAACAATTATAGAAGAATGAAAATGAATTTGTTACTGAACATCTAAACAAGATGCTCTTCTTATTGACTTAAAGCATTTGATGTCTCAACAAGTCTCCTGGCAATGATTTTGTGTGTGGAGACTTGTTTCTAATAACTCGGGGCACTCCAGTGGAGGTTTCTGGATATGAAACTTCACCCTGGTTTGAAAAGCATTCCTCATGACTTAATTTTAGCAGACATGATATCTGTACAGCAAATGTCTGTGCCTTGCGTGCGTGTCAAGTGACACCAATCATTCAAAGCGAATAGCATCCATTTCTATTGCGTGGATGGTATGGTCATAGAGGAAAGTAGGAATCTTTTCACTCTCATCAAAATGTGGAAATCTTTACTGCAAGTCAAGACCAGTGGCCTCTATTGTAGTTCAAGAGCAGGTTAGCTTTGAACAGAATGAGGAGGGCCTTCTCCCTGCTTGTTTATTATATCTGCAGAGAAAGTATATTCCACTTTTCCTACAGAGACAAAGGACATTTATTTGTAAACTATTTGAATAACCTACCCATGTACATATTCATGCATATATACACCCACCCTTTTGTATCTGTGAGGTAATGGTCCCATCCCACTGTAAATAACAAACTTCTCAGACGCTCAAGTCCCTTTTATGTAATGACACAGTATTTGCACATGACTTAAAGCATCCTCCTCTGCACTTTAAATCATATGTGCATTATTTATAATGCATGATACAATGTAAATTTTATGTAAAGAGCTGTTACAGTATTGTCTAGGGAATAATAATAGAAAACAGGCAGGACATGTTCAACACAGATGTAATTTTTTTTGCATGTTTTCATACACAGTTGGCCGAGTCTCTGGATGTATAACCTGTAGATACAGAAGGTCTGCTATGCATCTGTCTGTCCTCTATTTGTCCGTCCACATGACCACATAAAATTACATGCTTGTGTGTGGCTCTGGTAGCACTCTGTAACTGTATTTGGGTGATATTAAGAAGCATTCATTATGCTGTCTTTGGTGCTAGCATGTCCCACACTTTAATTCCCTTCATTAGCAAGTCTGGGCCATTTCAGCAGAGAAGGATATCACATTATAGCACACAGTAAAGACAAAAGATGACTCAGCTTGGAGTTTTGAGTTACTGTTCTCCTGACTTGATCAAAATGTAAAAATTCTGACCTTTTATGATCATGGCCTTATTTTTCAAGGCCACTAGAGAGTCGACTTGAGCAGAGGAACTTCCGGCTTCTGAGCAAACTCTGCATTTCATGGCAGCTGGGAGCAGCTGCGGAGTACCTCCAGGAATCATTCCCACCCTCTGCACCACCATCCCCTTCTGCACAAAAAGTCTGAAATTTAAGCCAAAGGAGGTGCAGATCCTAGCCACCAGTTCAAGGTCATATGGACTGAAGTCCAGGGACTGTGTCCTTGAGTCAGCAAGGAACAAGGGCTGAGAGGACTCTGAGGCCAAGGGATCCATGTCTCTGGAGAAAAGAAATTTGACCTATTTCTCCTATGGATAATGAATATAATTCCCAGGAGCTCTGCGTGACTGGATACTTCCCACCTGTTGTCATTGTCTGAATTCTGGGTTCTTCCCCTGTAGATGTCACTGGTAATTTAATCATCTCTCTCTCTCTCTCTCTCTCTCTCTCTCTCTCTCTCTCTCTCTGTGATATATAAATATATATATATACACATATATATATGAGATATGATATGCAATAGACAAGGAAGGGATAGAATCTTTATGATAAACTTCATTAAATGGTTAGGAAATTACTTAGAAGAGGCATCGATTATCCTGGAGTTGAAGTGCCTGGAGTCTACCCATCCTTGCATGTGCCTCCTCTTAGAATCCAAGGGATATAACATGCTGATATATTCCGTGTGAGAATGCAAAGACATGCTCTGGGTGGAAATCCCCCACAGCATTGTGATCTCCTGCCCCACCTTCCCTTAAAAGAAAACACTCTGGCCCAAATATTTGTTTCATATAAATAAACCAGTTGATTGGCCAGGGAAGAATAAGTGCCAAGTCTGTATTTTAGAGGGGTCATGGGAATAAAGTAAGCCTGTGCAATTAATGACAACAGGGCTAACCTTACATAGACCAGATGTTCACATCATGAAGAATGTTGGTCACAAAGCAAACAAACCTCCTTGATATAAACAGCCATAAGAACTGGCCATCTCTCTATGGGACACATTGGAACAACTGTAAACTGTAGTCACCATCAGTCCTAATGCTGGGTTCATGTAGGAACCCTGGGGTGGGGACGACCCC